TCCCCATGCGGCAATCTATCTGCAGCAGGACAGTTTGGAGGATGCGACGGTCTGGCTGGCGCGTAATCGTGTTGCTTCTTTGCAGTGCTCATCGCCTGGTACCTGGCAAGCAAGCGACGACCAGACCTGAATATACTGATCCTCGTGGAAAACGTAGCCTCCATGCCGGCAGCCCATAGGAAGGCCATCTGTGCTGCCATGGGGGACCTGAATCTGGAGTGGGCGGTCAGGATGAACGCGGGGGATTCAGTTGCCAGCCCAAGAGAGAGCCTGTGGTGTTGGAACTTCCCGCCCCCGACCGACACCATCTCCTATCCCCGGCTCCCCAGCCCATGGGGGCCCAGGTGGGCTTTGACCTGGCGGCAGGATCCCCACCTGGACGCAGTCCAGGGCCCTACCAGGAGACCTCCACGCAATCCCCCTAAGCAGCTACCAGACACACCTGCTCTGCCTTCTGTGCGATGAAGACAGCAGCCGCATATGGTTACTCAGGAACTCCACTGAGCTCAAGAACGGAGTCCGCAACATACTGATCGAATGCAGGGCCGAGGAACGCTTCCCTGGCTGCCTAGAAGGATTGGCGCTGGTGATGACTGATGACCGGAAGGGGAAGAGAGAGCCCAGCAACAGAGGCCAAAGTCAAAGCCTGGGGGAAGTGGCTCATTGTCGAAGGGGTAACCCACGGGCTGAGGCCTCCCACTGCTGAGGAGAGAGCGAGAGCAGTCGGGCTTGCCAGCTACTGCCGATCCCTCGGCATCCACGGCAGGCAGCTGTGCGACGCAGTGGGCGTCCACTTCGATCCTCGCTGCCTACAGCGAAGAATAGTCACCGCCCTGCGCGCCCAGGAAATCGGCGCACCGGCCCCGTCCGGTGACCAAATAGCCCAGGCCTGGGTGGCGGCAAGGACTGTCGCAGGGATGCAATGCCCATGGGCCCACCTACGGGGGCATCCGCTCCCAGACGACGTCGCGGACCGCCTGCAGGAATCAGAAGGCCCACTCCTCGGTCCGCCGCTCCCCTAGACTCCAACGAGGGCCCCAGAACGCTGTATCAAGCGCTGGGGTCCCCCCCCAGGCACCAACTGGTCCTTGGAATTCGCGCCCGGGCCTGGCGGGCGGCCTGCCGCCCTCTCAACTCCACCCTGGACTCGGGCGCCTGGTTTAGATTCCGTGGCCCCCGCGGCCTATGGAGTGCGCTCCACAGCGACCCATGGGACCAACCAACCTGGCAGACCCTCTGCGGTGATCACACCGTGGGCGACCTACTACTGGCCCTAGAGGCAACCCCAGCTGACGATCTGCCCAGACTCGCCAGCTGGAATGTCAGATACCTTCGGAGGTCACAGCCGCCAAGAATCAGATCAAGCACGCAGTGCTGACGCAGATGGCCCTGAACCACCGCATTGGTCTGGTTCAAGACACACACACTGGTCCAAGCATGAGGCAGATGTATGGAAAACGATGTTCCCTGCTCGCGCGCTCGTCTCTTCCCCGGGCTATCGTGGGCCAGCAGGGGGCCTGGCCGGGGGAGTATGCATCCTGCTCTCGCGCGGAGTCACTCCCCTCGACCAAGAAGAGATAGTCCTTGGATGCGCCATCTCCGCCACCGTGCAACGCGGCGACCACAAATTTCGCGTCGTTCCTATCTGCCTCCCCCCGTCTCGGAAGGAGGAGACCATCGCCGAAGTTGCTGACGCCGCCGAGCGCTGGGATAACCTCGACACATACTGGGGTGGCGACGTCAACCTCCAACTGGGCGACCCCCGAGACGGAGAAGTAGAGACCGTGGCAGCTTTACGGGACGTCCTTCGTACTGCTGGCTCTGTGGTGGTACACGCGGCCGGCCCCGCCAGAGTCGACAAAGACAACGAGTCCCAAATCTACATGTTGGCCTGTCCAGTGCGCCAGCTCTACGCCTGCGCAGTGCTCAAGGCGTTGAAGCCCGCACTATCTGACCACGCCATCCTTTACCTACAGCCCGAAGGGGCGCGCAGGGCCCGCAGAGACTGCACCATGAAGGCAGGGGACCTCAGGGGCCTCCCCTCCGCCGCCCACGCGGACCTTAGACAGGTCTTCTCGTGCCTGGAGCTAGCCTTCGGCGTCCCACCCGTCAATCTGACAGGGCCCCTTCAGCCTGTTGACTGGGTCAGACCCGCGACTCCTGGAGGCTTCCCAGACATGCGCACCGACGATGACGACGGCGAAATCGAGGCAGAGGCCGCGCGTCCCGCGCCCAGCCAGCCTCAGCAAAGTAACGGCACGGCCGACGTCACGCCACTCATCATTCCTGCTCTGATGCGCTTCGGCAGACACGCGCTCTCTGCCGCTCT